TCATTTAAAGTTCAGGAAACATGTTATAACGTCTCTTCTTGCTTGCATCTGTTCTAGCCAGGCTAATACTACTAGCAGACATCTTTTCTATTCACAAATGATTAATATCTAAAGACAAATGCATAAGAATCCTTGAGTAATTACTGCCAGCACAAAAAGATCCTGGAAAAAATTAGACAATACTAACTACTGTATACTGAACCATTTACACTACAATGTAAGTAAATTTTTTAGAAAAAAAAAAAAAGCATTGAATGTAATGTAACGTCAGTTTCTGACAGGAGCCCCGGAGGCTCCCTGAAGTTATCTTACTGATCAAATGCCATACTACGTGTCATCAGTCACAGCATTCTTTGTAAGCCTACAAGGGCCCACAAGCCAGAACCTAGCCCCCTTCAGAGAGGCAAAGGGAACAATGACCATGAACACTTTACATTTAGAGTACAGTATGTCATCTTGTCATCAACCTAGGAAGGCACCCAGAAAAGTAGGTGTATCAAAACAGACCACTGCCTGGTTGAAAAGTGCGACCTACGTCCTTACAAGCACAAAAGAACTCCCCTCAGAAAGCAAACAAAACTCCATCCAACTACCCCCCCCCCTCGCATTAGCTCCATCCCCCCCAAAGGTGGGGGGGAGTTAGAGTCGGCCTGGGCAGGCAGCCAGCCTCCGGTTCTTTAAATGATGAAAACTGCCGACTGAGGGAGGAAGGGTGTCAGAGAGCTTCTGGGGCTCACCCAGAAACTGGCGTTTCATCACATTCAATGCTGGTTTTCTGGGGGGGGGGGGGGGGGGTGTCAGTTCCCTTTAGCTAACTACTCCACAGAGAAGGAAAAAGGGAAGAACCTGGGAGGTGGCAGCCCAACAAAGACAGCTGGCTGTTAGAAAAGCCCCAAAGCAGCAGAGGGCCTGGGATGGTCATATGAGACCCGAAGGTCACGACTGTGACCGACCTCCAAAAACCCCCAAGCCCGAAAACAGTCCAATGACAGCCGAAAGGGCGGCACACATCCAAACAGCATGGGCAAGAGGGCTCACCGCAGACTGGCTAGACGTAAAGACACTGCAGACAACCTGAGATACAAGACCCCTGGAACTGAAAACAAGGGAAACCCGATCAAGCCAGAGTGCACCCACTGACACAGAACCAGTAACCTGCAGGAAGCGGTGTAAAGCATGTGATACACGTCTGGCCTAACCAATCAAGCATCCACAACCAATGGGTCCCTCTGGAAGCACGCCGCCTTATTGCTTGCAGCTGGAAGAAGCCGGCAGCAACAAAAAAAAAAAAAAAAAAAAAAAAAAAAAAGACCTATCAAAAACAAGCACGAACCAAAGATATCACTACAAACCAAGGATGAAGAAGAAAGGAAAGATTCCGGTCCAAAGAACATGAAGGCTCAGGGGACAAGAGCAAGCCGGAGGTGAAAATGCACGCAAGACCTAACGGAACGGAGTTGAAGGAACATCCACCCCGAATGCAAGCTGCAGCATCTCCGCCAACACTGCACAACATCTGATGCAGATCCAGGAAAAGCCAAGAGAGAGAGAAAGGACAAGACAACTCGGTTCGACAACAATGAAACCCAACGAAGAGAAAGAAAAAGGTGCAAAGATTGCTAAGAGACAGCATCCTGATGCCGAGATGAAAACCGCAGATGGGATACCATGAAAGAAACTACCTGATGACTATACAAATGGCAATACATGTGTCATAAATCCCAGACATGCCATGCGGAGGAGGAAACCGAACCAGCGAGGCACCTCACCAGCCAGACCACCTGAAAGAGGCAGAGCCGTAGAAAAATGCCCAGGTTCAGACACCAAGAGAGCAGTGCCTGAAACCATGGCTGGGCCAGCCACCACGGAGTCAGAAGAACTCTTCCCCGATAGGATTTCAACCGAACCAAAACCCGGAGCTACAGCTGGACCGGAAGGAAGAGGTACAGGAACCCCACTGTGACCAGTCCTGTCAAAAAGCATCCACTGCGAGAAGCTCGCCGTTGGAGAACGATGCCACAAACAATGGGAGACACCAAGACCACGTCAATGCAAAGAGGTCCACCTCCAGGCGGACCAGGTGGACGTCCAGCAGAGCTAAAGAAGGAAAATGGTGATGACAATCCACTCCATGGAAGAGGAAAGAAAGAGGAAAGACACTTCCTGAATGGGAACGACATGGAGAGCTAAACCCTGAGAACATAACAGGAAAGCCACCTGAACCAACCAGCTCCAAAAAGCCATGGACCATAAAGACCCCCCCTCCTCAGTTGAGACAATGAACCACAGGGAAGCAGTCAGAATGGAACTGGAGTATTTAGCCCCAAGGAATCTGAATCCTCTGCAGGGCAGACCACACATTCGCAACTCCCGCATTGTTCAGGGAACCCGATTAAAGGACAGCTGCCAATGCCTGCAACCAGACTGGTGAGCACTGGTCACTAAGCCCCAGCCTACATACGAGAAATCCGTGAACACAAGTGAGGGAGAAGTAAAGTGCCATGGCACTGAAACCCAAAACTGGTGACACAGCAATCAGCACAGGGATAACCCAGCAACCATGAGAGTGGCAAAAGAGGCTGCCACAAAGATACCAGAACAGCCTCTGAAATTAAACCCTGCCAAGAGGATAAACCAGAAGAGCAAAAGTTCAGGCTCCTACACAGCTGCATGAGCAATCACAGAGTGATCCGGGACCCCTCACAAAAACAGCTTATGGCGGGACTGCAACCGAAACAAGGCTGCGAGAGAGAGAAAAAAGGACCAGTCCGAGAACCCCACACAAGGCCCAGCCAAGTCCAGACCCGGGATGGGACCAACTGGGACTTCCGCCAGCACACCAAGAACCCAGGACTGGACCAACTGGGACTTCTGCCAGCGCACCAGGAACCTGAACCTGGTGAGCTGGGAAAGAGCCAGATCCCTGGCTAACAGACAAGCAGACTGGCTGGGAGCCCACACCAACCAGTCATCGAGGTAGGCCAAGATCCATTACCGAAGACCTACGGAGCACCTACGGAAGGGGGCCCCTACACGTATGCTGCTCCAGTACCCACTGGTACTGAAGCAACAAACAAGCTTGTTTCAGCTTGTGCAGCGAGGAGAAACAAACTAGATTGTTTCCTTCAAGGAGTGCCGGACCAACCGGGCTGTGGTGGGTATGTGGGCCTGCGGGCCGCTCCAAGCAACAGCTTGGTGGACCAAACTCTCACAAGTCAAGTCTGGCCTCGGGCCGGGCTTGGGGAGTAGAACAACTCCCAGAACCCCATCAACCAGGTAACCCTAAACTCCTGGCAACATGCACACTTCTATTTCATACCACCACCACAAAGGTGAAACACCAAAGAAAATGGGAACACCGAGCCAGAGCGACAGCAACCACTCAGCACGCCTACATCAAAGAACTGAAGGGTGGCGACCTGACCTGCCCAGAACAGCTTCTCCCCTCCCCTCCCCCCTGTGGGGAAGAGGGGAGGGTGTGTGTGGGAGCTAATGAGCGAGGGGTTAGTTGGAATGAGTTTTGCTTGTTTGTTTGCTTTCTGTGGGGGAGGGGGGAAGTTCTTTTGTGTTTGTGAGGACGTAGGGAGCCGGCCGGCCGAGCGGACAGCACGCTGAACTTGTGATCCTGTGGTCCTGGGTTCGATCCCAGGCGCCGGCGAGAAACAATGGGCAGAGTTTCTTTCACCCTATGCCCCTGTTACCTAGCAGTAAAATAGGTACCTGGGTGTTAGTCAGCTGTCACGGGCTGCTTCCTGGGGGTGGAGGCCTGGTCGAGGACCGGGCCGCGGGGACACTAAAAGCCCCGAAATCATCTCAAGATAACCTCAAGATAACGTAGGTCACACTTTTCAACCAGGCAGTGGTCTGTTTTGATTCTCTTACCTTTCATGGTGCCTTCCCTGGTTGATGTCAAGATGACATACTTTAAATGTAAAGTGTTCATGGCCTCCAAAATGCCTCCATTTGCCTTTCTGGGGAAGGCCAGCTTCTGGCTCGTGGTCCCCAGTAGGATTACAAAGAACTCTATGACTGGTGACACTCGAGTAGTATGACACGATCAGTAAGATAGCTTCAGGGAGTCGACAGGGCTACCCCCCGTCCCCCCTAGAAAACATGTCCTGTTTAAAGCCAAAAAGTAACACAAGGAAAAAATGATTCGATGAAAATTGCATACATGACGAGATAGATTTAACTGCAGTCGACTATAAATCAAGATTGGTGGTAAATTCAGCCTGTTTTTAGATGAATCCATATGAAGAGACAGATTTTAAAGTTGTATACTCTACATGAAGTTATTGATATATTAGGGCAAAGGAAACTTATTGTAATTTTGATCTTTCCAGCTCAAAATATATTGATGCTGATGCCATTTGGGTCAGTTCTGTTAAAGTAAATACGAGTCCCATGAGCTTGATAAAAGTAACAATTTACTAGGGCATCCATATGCACTTTTCAAAATTTGATTTTTCCTCTTCTCATGAACTTGAAGCTTGTATTATTGAGTAATCCTCACTTTATGGAAAAAAAAAAAAAAAAAAAAAAAAAAAAAAAAAACCTTTAAACCGGATGAAAAATGTTTACAATTCTTTCGTCTGTCTCTGTGGTCTTCAGCATAAAGCTATTATGTGCTCATGACATTCTTACACACACAAGTACACAAAGTATCTAACATAAGATTTAGTTCTACATTATTATAGACTTATTAATATACATAGAACCGTGGATTTATTGTTATTCAGAAAATGCCTTCAAAGAGATTATATTTTTCAATATAAAAACTGGCTGCCACCAAGCTAAATTTCCTAATTTTTATAGGAAGCTTACTTCATGATCATATGTATGTGTTGTACATTTCTAATCAATGCTATGAAGTGTTCTCAGTACATTGCATGGAAACTGCATGAAATAAAGGAAGTAAAACATCCTAACGTATCCCTATGAGGCATACTTAATTAAGATTAATTTTGTTGTTGGTAAAGGAAATAAATAACACTAACAAAGAAGTATTTTGTGTCATGGATTTGTTTACAAATTTTGATACATAATTTTTGTAAAAGTAGCATTTACACCAAGCTGTATATTCACTACTAATCAGTTCCAATCTCTCAACTTTTACAAGCAATGAAATACACCACAAAGTAAGTGCTTGGAAACATGCTGCTAGTTCTTAAATAGGTGCAAAATTTAGAGTACGACATTTATATTAGTATACGTCCTCCCCACTGTACAGTTGTTAACCACACCCTCTTAAGGAACAAACTCACATAATACATTTGTACTTGTACATTTCTTCTTTTTCCAATGGATATCACTTACCACTAAATAAGTCCTTTGTGAAAACCAAAAGACTACGAGAAGAGCCTATGAATACACAATAACACTTTGGTGAATAAAGTTATGCAAATAATTTCTGGACAATTTGCAAACCAAAATATATATATAACACCTCCACAAGAAATACTTGTGTTAAAGTACTGTTGATTCTTTAATAACATATTGCTGAAACTTAAGTGTCTCGCCCCCAGGTGTTTTATATACATATACCCTAAAAAGGGCATTTCAAAATAATTTCCAGTTCAATAACTAATAAGAACATACTATACTTAGTTAACCCATCTACATATATCTGTCCTGGGGTCTAAATGGCAGACTTCCTGACACAGTAGTAGGAGGCATTATTCCCAAGGGGTTGAATAGGTTCTGTAATGCAGGGGGAAGAGAATAAGGATTTGGGTTAAGTCCAGCAGCAGCAACAGCAGCAGCTGCTGCAGCTGCAGCAGCTGAGGAGGTAGGCTGTATATTAAATGTTGATACGGCCAATGGGTCTTGTGAGGAGGGAGTTAGAAAAGATGGGGCATTAGTGGTGGAAGAGGATATAGTTACAGAAGAACCTGAGGAAGACGAAAGTGGTGTTATTGTGGTGTGCGGAGAAGGACTGCTGCTACTGGTGCTGTTGCTGCTGGCTGTGATTGGTGGCGTGCTTCTAGACGTAACATTAATGACTTGTCGTAGTTCAGAGGAGCCAGAAGAAAAGGTAGGAGAAGAAGATGAGGAAGATGTTGAAACTACAGGAGTGACCGTGAGTCCTGCAGGCAGGGGAGATGGCCCCTGGTTTGGTCTACGAGGAGGTGGAGATGGGGATGATGCAGGGCTGTCCAAACAGATCACCTGGGGACTCACTGACCCAGAAGATGGAGGGGAAAAAGCTGCACCACCACTGCTGCCTCCTGCTGTTGTCAACAATCCTCCAGTCCCATTAGACGAGGCTACAAAAAATGAAAAAAGAGAGAAAAAAAAAGGAAAAAAAAAGAAAAAAATTATTTTAGGTTTATATAATAAACATGAGATTACAAATTTCTCATTTATGCATTTGTTTAATTTCTTTGTATGATATATACAACAAAATACAAATATTGTAAAAGTATTAGTTACATATACTGTACTATAATAGCTTAAAACCAACTAGGGAATATTATTATTAACCTCAACTACCAATTGAAAGCATGCAACAGTAGTTAGTTTTCATGCTAAATAATTACAATAATACAAATATTAAGAAATTTTGCCTTGGTAAACTATAAAATTAATAAATAGTAAAGAAAAAAGCAGTGCCATGCAGCAATGCCCATCTGCAGCTGCCCGATGTTACACAAATGCAATGCAAATTAGCGTTTTACTTCTTAAAGTCACATTGGGATTTTGTAGTAATTTATATACATACTGTATACATATGTAACATATAATATATACTATATATATTATATACATGTACACACACACGACAAAGAGTACTGAGAAGATGGGACACCATTAGCGTAGCTCTCACCCTGAAACTACACTTAATTACACACACACACACACACACACACACACACACACACACACACACACACACACACACACACACGACCAAAGAGCCGAAGATCAACCCCCGCAAGCACAATTAGGTGAGTACACGGGTGGTACACAAACATGGGGGGACAGGTGGAAATTGAATACCCAAATGAGCCACAGGGACGTTAGAAAGACCTTTTTCAGTGTCAAGAGTAGTTAACAGTTGGAATGCATTAGGCAGTGATGTGGTGGAGGCTGACTCCATACACAGTTTCAAGTGTAAATATGACAGAGACCAGTAGGCTCAGGAATCTGTACACCAGTTGATTGACAATTGAGAGGCAGGACCAAAGAGCCAGAGCTCAACACCCACAAGCACAACTAGGCAAGTACATGGGAGGTCCAGAACTAGCGTTAGAAGAATTGTGATCATAGAAAAGCATGAAGATTAGATATCAGACCCGTTAGTAACTACGACTTCCTAACAAGTTAAGCAAGGTGGTAAAGGCCAAAACCATTAGTACCATTTCAAAGCGTTATACAAAAAAAAAAAAAAAAAAAGAGTACTGGGAAGATGGGACACCATGAGCATAACTCTCATCCTGTAACTACACTTAGGTAATTACACACACAAACATACAAACACTCTTTGCAAACATAGTGGTAGATGGTTGCAACAAATTAAGTAAGAAGGTGGTCGAGGCCAAAACCGTCAGTAGTTTTAAAACATTATACAACAAAGAGTACTGGGAAGATGAGGCACCACGAGTGTAGCTCTCATCCTGTAACTACACTTAGGTAATTACACTCGTGCGCACACACACACATACTAAGATGTGACAAGACTTGAATGGGTCCCAAGTTATATATATCAGAAAACTCATCCTCATGAAGGGTTCGAACCCAGAGAGCTATGAGCTCCATACACCTTCACATATCTAGTACCTTACCCACTAACAGATATCTTAACAGATAGTGTGGTGTAGTGGGTAAGCTACTAGATATACGAAAGTGTATGGAGTGCGCTTAGCTGTCTGGGTTCGAACCCTTCACGAGGATGAGTTTTCTGATATATACAAAGATATCATAGTGAATATATGACCATGGATAACAAGAATAACCACAGCTAAAAATAGAAAATAGGTGGAGTGTGCTTGCTTCCTTGCAGCATCTTCACAATATGTTTCTGGCAATGTGCTGAAAGAAGTGAGAGCATTTAAACATTTTCCAATTTAATCATGGTTTTCTTGCATGCATGCATGCATACACACACATACTGTACATACATACATACACATACTTGTATATTATATTTACATATAAAATGCACAAACAGTATATACAGCACTTCAAATTTAAGGATTGCAAAAAATCTGCAGGGGAGACAAGCAGAAAGATCTTGATAAATGAATTTGTATTTCAGCTTGCATTACGGGGCCAATCTTGATCAATGACATTAATAAGAAAATTATTTATCTTCTAGATTTTGCCTGATACAACTAGAAAATATTTTTTACTACTATATTTACTTAATCTATCTTACTACCCTCTCTCTTAACACCATACCTAAACCTCCACACCGGCCCTACCCTTACAACAGTCACACTACCCTCAATAACTCTACATTTTGCTCAAAGTATAAACAAACTTTCTTTTCTTGTCCTAATATGAAGTTTATATTCTTTAATTTGTAATTCCTAACTTAGAATTTCTAGAAATCTCCAATGTAAAAACTGCAGTTTCTTCACTAAACAGGCTCAAAATTTATTCCAAGTACAAATATGACCATAATTTATATAAGTTGCCATACAAAGTTGTCAATCTTTTTCTATAGGTTACTGTAAATTACAATACTGTACAGTATCAATAAATTTCCTGAAATCATTCCACTTATTCTCTCAAAATTAAAGTGATTATTTTTTTTAAAAGAGAAACTATGTACTATAAAGCCCATATTTTGCCATTCAACAAATAAAAATTTCACTGACATACTTTTTATAATTTGATATTAATTTTATATCTATTAGTATTAATATTGACATGTGTACTAGTGATGTGTATAGTATGTGCATATTTACACACACAGTATAGGCCTGTGTACAAATATGTCTGTAAGGATTTCAGTGCTGTATATGTTTATATGTTTGTACATGTGTATGTACAGTACATATAATATAATGATAAACTCAATATCTTTCCATGCTGTGTCCAGCTACATTTGAAGTTTGAAGAGTAGATACAAAATAATGGCGATTTAATAAATAAATTGGTAAATAAATAGCTAAAATCTGCAGTGCTTTTTCTGTCTTGGGAGGAAAAGAATAAGCAAATGCCATTCTGAAAATCAATGGGCCTTTATTTTATATATTCTGTCCTCTATTAGCCCAAAACAACAGTGTATAGTATACTGGTCTATTAATATTACTTTTTATAGTAAGAAATCATGATTCGATATCGAAAGACTATATTTAGTGTAATTTTGTATATTTAATCATGATAGTTCCCCCCACTATTACATAACCTTGTTTATTTAATTATAATGCCATACAACACATACATGATGCTTTTATTTATGATTACAACATTGAGGAGTAAAGCTTTTTTACATGCAAGGTCTTGAAATCACAATTTTTTTTTAACAAACTTCCATCTGGTCAAGTTTTACCATTTATTAAATACATGGTTGAAAAAATTCTTTATGGCTAATAAAAATTTATGAATTGGTATTTTGTCAATACATTTCTATTAGAGATTATGATCTTTACAATGCACTATGAAAGGTTTAACAATTTAAAATTTATTTTACAACTGGTGTGAAATTTTGAGTGACAAAGGTACATATCTATACTTCCATTGCATTCACAATTATGTAAATTTGTAATTACTCTACTCCTGTATTGTGTCCATAGCTATACACCTGTCTGTATCTGTAATTGTTTCTGAACAGTTTATTGAATTAATAATATCCAGTACCCTTGAATTAAAGACCTCCACAAATCGATCAAAATGAGAAAAACTGGACACAATAGTAATGCCTGCACCAGAAAATTACCTATGCAGCAAAAACAGTGCCCTCCAAGTGGTACACATACCTTGCATTTTACACTAGGGTATGGAGGCTCCTAAGCCAAGAGGAATATGTACAACACACTCCACACCACTGGACAGGGTACTTACAAGAGAGGGATTTCCTAAAGACGAGTCGTTTCCCAGGGTCAACTTCCCCTACGCACCAAGAATCGTTTGACTTAGTGCCCTCTGCAAGCGCAAAAGTTTTGGGTAATTTTACTAAATCCACCAAGCCTTGTGTAATTAGCTACAGCAGACAGATAAATGCATGTCCATACTATTACTTGCCTCAAGTGCTATCACCATTTCTTACTTTTCATGTATTTAAAAAATATTAGATACAATGCTATATTCACTTGAAAGATCTTTTAATTGAAAATCGTCTAATTCAGTGCACGAATATTCCTCATTAAACTCATAACCATAAAACACTTGTGCAGCTCTAAAAAGAGGTAAATACTGAATAGACCTATGAACTCTTTTTGTCCTTTTAGGAGAACCCATTTGTGAACTATCTCCTAATGTCAGCAAAAATTAATGCCAATTCCTTTCCAAGTATCTAATTATGCAGATTTTTTTTGTTTAGATTTGAGAGGACATAAGTCTTTTGTCATGTGCTTTTAATACTTGTTTACATTGATAAGTAAAAGTAACTCAAGAGCCCATATATCCAAATAAATCATGCATTGTTTTTATACATCCTCAACAGTCCCACTGGAAACTTGGCACAGTGTATGACCCAGCAAGCAAAGCAATGGGTGAAAAACCTCAGAAATGTGCAAACAAAAAATATTTAATTTTTAAAATGTCAAAATAAAGATTTTACAAATGTAGATATTAAATTTATATTATAGTACTTCACAAAAGTTTTATACTACGGACAGATAAAACAAGATATTTAAAGGACATAACATCTTTAATTACAGTACAGTAGTTTTGAAAATCATGTAATGCACCCACCCACAGCTTGTGTGCCATTCACTATTTGCCATACTTCATTTATTAAAGCCAGTTACCATGCACAAAAATATATCAATAACACACCATCTATAAGCATCACTATTTAGTTTCATATTAACATTTCAAAATACACCTGAGGTACGTGAACATCATCAGTAGAAATGATACTTTGAATATCAGTGTATTATGTAAAATCATTTACATCACAGTACTACAACTGTTAATTTTAGACATTTGACACTTTACATTAGGCCATCAATAATGCTAATACAAAGCTGTTCAATTGTTTTGCTATGTTCATTTGTGTTTCTTACAAATATTTCAACATTTCAGTATTTAGTTATTAATTCAGAATATTAAGCATAATTGTTTCAAATTACTTCTTAGCCATTAGAATAGCTATGTTGTGGCTTTCTGTTGCAAGATAGCACTATGCACCTCATTTTATTAATTGCAGATTTAAAGAAACCCAACAAAAGTAACCATCCAACAGTAGTCAATGTAAATGTATCGAGTAAATAAATAATACTCTAAATACAGCATGAGGAACACAGCAATGGAAGATGTAATGAATGGGATGGGTGGTTGTGGTGTGTGTTAACTACAGTACATTACAAATTCTATTAATATACTGTACCAAGAAGTAGTAAACAAAAAGTAGTATATATATAAATATATATATATATATATATATATATATATATATATATATATATATATATATATATATATGTCGTACCTAGTAGCCAGAACGCACTTCTCAGCATACTATACAAGGCCCGATTTGCCTAATAAGCCAAGTTTTCCTGAATTATTTTATTTTCTCTAATTTTTTTCTTATGAAATGATAAAGCTACCCATTTCATTATGTATGAGGGCAATTTTTTTTTATTGGAGTTAAAATTAACGTAGATATATGACCGAACCTAACCAACCCTTCCTAACCCAACCTAATCTATCTCTATAGGTTAGGTTAGGTTAGGTAGCCGAAAAAGTTAGGTTAGGTTAGGTTAGGTTAGGTAGGTGTGGTAGTCGAAAAAACATTAATTCATGAAAACTTGGCTTATTAGGCAAATCGGGCCTTGCATAGTAGGCTGAAAAGGGCGTTCTGGCTACTAGGTACGACATATATATATATATATATATGTATGTATGTATGTATGTATGTATGTACGTATGTTGTAGATAGAATGCAGTACTCGGCCTATTACGCAAGGCTCAATTTGCCTAATAAGCCAAGTTTTCCTTAACTTATATATGTTTTGAATTTTTTTCTTATGAAATGATAAAGCTATCCATTTCATTACTTATGGGTTAAGTTTTTTAATTTGAGTTAAAACTAACGTAGATATATGACCAAACCTAAGCAACTCTACCTAACCTAAACTAACATAACTAAGTCAATAATTTATGTTCTTAATATAATATAAAAAAAATATTTCAAATAAACCAATTGGAAACAAATATTTGGAAAATAAAGAAAATCGCTTGGCCTATTAGGCAAATCGGGCCTTGCATAGTAGAAGTAGTGCGTTCTGGCTACTATGTACGACATATAAATTATTGTATTCCTACTTTCAAATGAAAGTATATTTATTATACGTCATACAAGCAGTTACTCAGCACCAGGCAAGTACCATGCACTATAAGAGTAATACTGTAGTGCATTTAATGGATACTGTTATACAATGTACAATACAACGTAATTCTCGCCTCCACTCGCCTAAAGAAACCTAATTCATATGAAACCTATAAATTTAATCCATGTTGAATTTTCTCCAGATCAATGATTTGCTGTTTTTGCACATAGCTTATATTAATATATGTATAGCAATACTGTTCTGAACTTAAAAATTAAACTACAAAATTAGCAAAAATATGAATTAACTAATCAGTACAGCTGTATTGGAAATAGTCAAATTGAAGTTTCTGCATCAACAATTGCTTTTACAAATGTGTGAATCTCTCTATACTTGTACACCCTTAGGGCTGTGGCCCATGCTCAAACAATAGTTTCAAGTTGACAGACACACTCCTAGGCATTCTCAGGTGTAGCATAATGTTTAGCATAATGTTTAGCAGAATGTTCAGAGAAGTCTGCTTTTTGTCTAGTCTCTAACAGATAATATGGTCCATATTACCTAAAACCAGGGTATATATTTTCCCAAGACATGCAAAGGTACAGTTGGGTTTTGTTCGATCGCAAGCCAATAGACTGTAAATCTGAATAGTTTATGCTTGGTACAAATTGTTTAGTGGAATTAACAAAGCTATCGTTTCAGTGAGGATTGTTCACCCAAGCTGTAGCCGAGGGCAACGGTAAGGACACTGGTGTGTTACTAGCTGAACTAAACTAATTGTAAAATATTGTACAGTGCATAAAATCTTGCAAACTTTTAAATGAAACATTATTTTACAAATTACATTATCAAATAATATTTAACAAATCATACACAAAACAGCCAAAAGTGTATCACATAAACCACATAGCTTGTCCATGCCCAAACGAGTGTGCTAAATCCAAATATTATTAAAATTAATAAAAATAAAAAATAAAAAAATTATTAAACAAGTTTTATTTTCAGACATTACTATAGCAATAACGTGATACCTAACACAAAACTTAAAAAACAAGCATTGAATGTAATGAAAAGCCATTTTCTGGGTGACACCCGGAGGCTTCCCAGGCTGATATTGCCTGGATATCTAATATTAGACTTTGGCATCAGTCAGTGTGAATGGAGTTCTTAGGTCTACCGAGAACCACAAGCCAGAACCTGGCCTCCTTAGAGAAGCATGAGGAGCAATGGCCTATAGAAACCCCAATGTGGTTGGAAGCGTTCTATGTCTGCCATCGACCGGGTCAGGCACCCAGAAAGGTAAGCATCCCAAAACAAACCCCTATTCTGGTTAAGAAATTGCTACCGAGAGCCAAACTAGTGGACAAAACTCCCCAAACAAAAACGAGCAAATAAGCATGTCACCACATCGCTGCACCATTGTCTGCGCAGCTACCCCCTCCTCGGGAGTGGGAAGGGGGAGTTCCAGACCCCTTGAGCAAGCTACCAAAGACCCCAGTTCTGAGGATGGATATCAAAAACATGTGAATAACCGCCGACCAGAGGGAGGAAGGGTTTCCGGGGAGCCTCCAGGTCTCACCCAGAAAATGGGGTTTCATTACATTCAACGCTGGTTTTCTGGGGATATCCCTGTCGGCTCCCCGGAGCTACTTACCAAAAGATGAAAACAAGAGGGACTTACCCGGGAGGCGGTCATTGCTCGCTCCTTAACGCGAAGCTGAGACAATTGGCTGCAACCGCTGACCCAAAGCGACACAGGCCCGACGAGGCCCAGGAACATTAAGTAACGCTCAGCCAGGACCCTGTTCGACTGGCAAAAACCCAGCGCCCAAATGTCAGCCCAAGACATGTTGCCAAAGACGGTAGCAAGAGTAGCAAACTTACGAACATCGTGGGCACAGGGATAGACCGCAGGCTAGCAGGACCGAATAACCCTGTGGGACCTGAGAGACCCGCACCCTGGAACAGGGAAGAAGGGCAGCCGGATCAGCCCAAAGCACGTCCCTGGACATGGAAGCCATGGCACACAAATAATGGCAGAGAGCAACAACCGGACACAACAGATGATGCACCACTGGCCTAGCCAACCAAGCATCAACAACTAAAGGGCCCCTCCAGAAAGCAGTAGTCTCATTCTTCGCCAGAAAAGGAGACGACTGCAAGCAAACAAACCTAGCATGAGGATCAAAAGAGCAGAAACCCCTTTGCCGGAGCAGAGCATGAAGCTCCCCGACCTGTCCCCCAGAGGCCAATGCCAACAAAAAAGAGTCTTGGAAAAATAATACTGAACCGAAGGGGCCACAACAAACAGAAGGGGAAGAGAGAAAAGACAGCTCCCGATCCAAGGACCAGGACGACTCAAGTGGCCCATGAGCAGGTCGGAGGTGAAACAACACAAAAGACAGCTTGCGAAAGGGCACTGAAGTAGCATCAATACCGAAAGCAAGCTGTAGCGGCTCCGCCTGCACCGCACAATATGAGGTGACAGTATTAGGCATAAGATGACGGTCCTGTAACAACCACTAGAGAAACAACAAGACAACCCGAACCGAGAGCGAAGAATACCTACAAAGCGTGAGAAAGAAACGAAAGGACCACCAGGAAACTTCATACTGCCGCCAAGACGAAGCACGCAGGTGGGACACCATC